AAAAGCAGAGACATCACTTTGCAGACAAACGTCCATATAGTCAAAGCTATGGTCTTTCCAGTAGTCATATATGGACGTGAGCATTGGACCATAAAGAAGACTGAGCACCAAAGAATTGATGCTTTTGAATTGTGGTGCTGGAGATTATTGAGAGTCCCTCAGACAGCAAGGAGATCAAACCAGTCAATCCTAAAGAAAATCAACCCTGAATATTCATTGGAAGGACTAATGCTGAAGCTGAAGCTCCAATATTTTGGCCACCTGATGCAAAGATCCAACTCATTCGAAAAGACCCTGATGCTGAGAGAATTAAAGGCAAAAGGAGAAAAGGGTGGCAGAGGATGAGATGGCTAAATAGCATCACCAACTCAACGGACATGAATTTGAGCAAACTCCAGGAGATAGTGAAGGACAGGGAAGCCTGGCATGCTGCAGCCCACGGAGTCTCAGAGTTGGACACGACTTAGCAACTGAAAAACAATAACAATGGTCACTGATGTTAACCAGACTTACCGTGGTGATCATTTCATAATGTATACAAATATCAAATCATTATGACATATACCTGGAACTAATATGACATCATATGTCAATTATTCCTCAATAAAAACAACAACAAACGACAGTTTGCTGGGACCTATCACCAGAGTTTCTGACTCAGTAGATGTGAGGTGGGGCTCAGAATTTGCCTTTCTAACATATCTAATATTTCTCACAGGTGATGCTAGTAGTGCTGGTCTGGGGCCCACATTTTGAAAGCCACGGTTAGATTAAAAAGATCTATCAAGTGCCATGAAAAATGAGCCATGCTGATAAATTGTGATCTTTTAATATATTAGGAATAACAGAGAAAGTCCTAAAAGTAGGCATGGGGGAGGTGAATTCAAAGACTCGAAAATCAAAATAGGGTGAGATTTCTCAGCTCTAAAATCAGAGTCTGCAAGATAAGGAAGGAGCATTTTCAAAAATTTTGAAGGAACATGATTTTCAACCTAAAATTCTATACCCAGCGAAAAGTAATCATCAGCAGTAAAGGTGGGAGACTTCCCTGCTGGTTCAGTGGTGAAAACTCTGTGCTCCTAATACAAGGGGTCCATGTTCTGTCCCTGGACGGAGAACTAGAATCCCAAAATGAAGATCGAAGATCCTAAGATCCTGTGTGTCACAACTAAGACCCAGCATAGCCAAATAAATATAAATAAATAAATATTTAAAGAAATAAAAGCTCAGGCAGCACAGATGCACTAAAAAAAAAAAAGAAGAAGAAGAATGAAGGTGGGAGAAAGCCATTTCAGGTAAGCATTAAGTCTCTAAAATATTACCGCCCAGGCATTCTTTCTCAGGAAGTAACTGAAGGATGTGCTTCATTCAAAAGGAAATAAACTGAGGAAGACTAAGACACAGTCCCTGAAAGAGGGAAGGGCAACGTGGATTCTTGAGCACCAGTCATGGGCAGTCCCGGGGTGACAGATGTGCTGCCAGACTTGAGAGCAAAGCATCCAGAGAAAGGCAGAAGGAGGGGGTGCCACAGGACAGATGTCTCCAAGGAGAAACGAAACAGAACCAATAAGATTATATGACAGGTCTGGCCATATGCAAAAGTGTACTGAGAAGGCGTTTTACAGAACCATTGGAGGGAGTGGGAAGACAGAGCCAGAGATTCAAAGAAAACCAAGCAAACAAAAAAATGAGGCAATTAACTCCAGGAAAAACAAGAAAGTTGTATAAGAAAGGAAATGTAAACAGAGCACACAACAAAAAGTTATATTAGAAAAGGAAATGAAACCAGCATATTTGCCTCAAAAGTAAACAACATTTTCAAAGTCAATAATGAGATCACTGAACATGGATTTAACCATAAATTGTGATATAAACATAATGGGGGTGGGTAGAGAGGAAGAGAATCAGAACCCTTACCTACCAAGACAAGGAATGAACAAATTAGATAAATGAACCCAGAACGGCAGTGCACATGTTATTTAGAAATAAGGAAGGAAATTCCAGAAGAAACGGCCAAACGAGTTGAAAGTGGTTGCCCCTGGGGAGTAGGATAAAGCTTGGGAGAAAGGCCAGTAGGACTTCTGTTTTTATTACAAGCCCTTTAGAAGGATTTGGTTTGTAAGCAATGTGTATGTATTAGCTCGATAAAAATAAATATTACTTTTATAAAGCAACTGTAAAAGGAAGTGTCACATCCTCCAAGACAGAGTGCCTGAGGGACCCTGTTGCAGCCTCAGAGGACCAGGGGTCTCCCGTCCTCATCCTGCCCCCCCACCCCACCCCCCGAAATGGGCATTATTCACAGGCTCAGCCCTCTTCTTCTCCCAGAAGCACTCCCTCCATCTCTTCCTGTTCTGCGCACCATCCACAGGGTGGCTATCCTCCAGCCAAACGAACCTGCTTCTGGGCCTTTGCGTGCACTGTGTCCTCGATCTGGAAGGCTCTTCTTTCCTATTCCACTCTCACCCACTCTCACTGCAACAGGTAAAAGATTTTTTAATATTTATTATTTGGCTGCGCCAGCTCTTGGTTGTGGCACGTGGCATCTTTTTTTTTTTTTAATTGTGACATATGAGATCTTTAGTTGTAGCATGTGAGATCTACCTCTCTGACCAGGAATCAAACTCCAGCCCCTGCACTGGGAGTATGGAGTCTTAGCCACTGGACCACCAGGGAAGTCCCAGATTAAGGACAGTTTAAATTTCAAGCCTCAGTTGAGATAACACTTATTCCATAGCCATCCTCCTTCCCAACCACGTCTGAGGCTAAACGCTCCCCCTCTGTGTTAGCCTACAGCTGTGAGTCTGGTCCTCACTGTCGCGCTTTGGTTCCCTGCACTGCAAATCCCCCTCACTTGTTTAGCTTTCCCACTAGACTGGAAGCTCAAAGACAGGAACTCAGTCTTAATCCCTCCAGTTCCAGGTCAGGGCCTGTTCCTGGTAAAATAGTGAATGATCATGCAAATGGATAAACATTAATATACATGACACATTTAGTAAGGGTTCAGATCTGAGTTATAAATATTCAAATGCAGACCTCCCGCCCCCATCCAAAACCTGCCACCCTTCTGTCATCTCCACTCTATCCCCTGTACTCTCCCTGTCCTGTAAGATCAAACTTCTCAGGCAAGCTGGCTGTGGCCAGTGCCTCAACCTCACTCCTGCCTTGAACCCATAAAGGAGTCAGGCCCCTTCACGGTGACCAGGTTCAGCTCCAGTAAAGGCAATTTCTAACCCAGTTCATACTAAAATAGAGGGAGCAGCTTAGAGACCGTCTGCCCAACCCAGGAGGAAATCAACTCCCTCTCAGTTTTCTTGTCGCGGAGCCTAAAACACAGGTCTCAGAGGTCTGCCTGCGGTGCCAAGTCGCTTCAGTCGTGTCTGACTCTGTGACTGTAGCCTGCGGGGCTCCTCTGTCTATGGGATTTTCCAGGCAAGACCCCTGGAGTGGGTTGCCATGCCCTCCTCCAGGCCATCTTACCCACCGAGAGACACGTCTGGGTCCCCGGTTAAACAGAGGGGCAGGGTCTTCTCTTCAGCCTGACAAAGGTCCGTCTTTGCATAAACTAAGTGATTGGCTCTACCCCACCCCCTCCATTCTGCCTCCATTCTGCCTCGGTGCCAGTACTGTTCAACTGCTCAGTCGTGTCCGACTCTCTGCGACCCCATGGACTGCAGCACACCAGGCTTCCCTGTCCTTCACCATCTCCTGGAGTTAGATCAAACTCATGTCCCTCGAGTCGGTAATGCCATCCAACCGTCTCGCCCTCTGTCGTCCCCTTCTCCTCTTGCCCTCAATCCTTCCCGGCATCAGGGTCAGTATATCCATCGGGAAAGGTGTGAGCCCCCAGCCCGGTCCAGAAAGGCCTGGAGGTAAGAAGCATGAGTGCTCAGCCTGGGCCAGGCACACAGTAGGTGCTGGGGAGTAAATATCCGCCTTGCCTCACTCCCACGAGGTCTGGGGAGCAGGCTGGAGAATTCGCCTCACTGCGAGGCCTGCAGGTCGCAGGCCTGGGTCAGGGGCGTCCTGCCGCCCCACCCCCATCACACCACGTGACCTCAAAGGGCCGCCCGGGGTTTGGAATGCGGCGACCTCAGCGTCGCCCCCGGAGGGGCCGGCCGAGCTGCGGCGGAGGGAGGGAAGAGAAAGGGGCCGCACCCGCGGCTGGGAGGCCTGGAGGGCTGGGGGTGGGGAGCAGGAGGGGACCCTTTTTTCCCCCGACGCGCGCGCAGGGGCAATGAGGCAAGGAGGTAGACGGTTAGGCTTCGTCCAGGAAACCTGTAAATACGGGCCGAGAAACTCGATCTGCTCCTGTCGCTTCCCTATTTAGGAGCAGGGACGGGGACGGGCGATTAGTGGCTCCTGGGGGCGCAGGTCACGTGGCTTCCCGGGACTAGTGGGGGGAGGGGGAGGCTGTGCTCCCTAGGAACCGGGATTCAGGAAGGCCGCCATCCCGGCGGCTCGAGCCCCAAATAGTTCCATTTGTCCTCATCTGACACGCTCGCACCCTGCCCGTGGGGTGGGAAAGTCAAGGGTCCACCCTGCTGCGGGTTCCTGCCCGCCACGAGCCCTTCGGAATGCCCTGGCCAGGTGCGTGTGTCGGTCCCACCAAGCCTCAATCGGCTCCGGGCCTCCTTTGCAAAGCCCGGGTTGGACGTGAGCAGACTCCCTGGTCCCAGACTCCTGTGCCTGTGGTGGCGGCCAAGCTCCGAAGCTCCGCTCTGGGTCTCGCACTCGCCGTCCTAGGTGGCACAGACAGTGTCCAGGAGCCTGGTGTCCTGCCTCCTGGCTTCCCTGGCTCAGTGGCCCGGGAGACCCGCAGTGCCCAGGGAGGAGACTGCCCACCCGGACTGGCTACCAACAGCCCACTGCGAGGGCATGAGGGGTGTGGAAGGAAAAAGACAGCATCTGCCCTCAAGAAGCTTACACTGGAGCAGGGACGACAGTCAAGTAAAGCAGAATGAAAATACTGGGGCACAAAGAAATACGCTGAGCACATCTCAGTCCAGCTGGGACCCGGGAGGGTTTGAGGAAGAGGCGGCACTTGAATTGTATTTTAAAAGGATGAGGAGTCATCGCTTCCGGGAGGGGGTAGGACCTCCAGACGGAAAGAACCGCAGGTGCAAAAGCATGGAAGCCCACGGTGCCAGAGAACCACAGGTGACCCCTTCTTCGGGACAGAAGCACCAGGGAGTGTAGGAAGGTGTGTGAGAAACGGGGCGGGTGAGCCACCAGGAGCCAGAGCCAGGCATCTGAGCTTGTTCTCCAAGTCCCGGGGAACTGCTGAATCATTTCATATAGCCAGGATCAGATTTGCATCTTCCAGGAGAACTGGGGATGGATTTGGATGCGGGCCCTAGAGCAGGAGAGAGCTTGATTAGGAGCCTGTTGCCAGCCTCCTCCCAGATAGCAGCAGTGGGAACCGGAAGAATGAAAAGGCTTGACAAACACTTGAGGGGAAGAGCCACTTGGCTTCAGGAGGGATTGGGGAGTGGGGAGGAGTGGGGAGGAGGTGTCTTGGGTGACCTCAGGTTCCTGGCCTGGGGAACTGGGCAGATGATGGAAGCAGAAGGCAAGGTTGATGAGGAGAGCCATATTTATTGAGCACCTCCAGTGTATCAGGCACTTGGTGCCTCCCATATTATCTTATTTCTCACAGTAACCTGTGAAGTAATACTATTGGTTATTCCCATTTTAAATGAGGAAACTAAATCAAGAGATTCAATAACAAAGTAATAGGGTTGGGATGATGAACACACCTGCGCCTGGCAGAATGCATCATCCCCATCTGAAGCTCCAGTGAGGTTCCCCAGGCTTCTCTCCATAGAAAGTACACCCACTACCACTGGCTCCTCCTCGCCTCCCCAGATCCTACATGTGGCATCACCCACATGTTTAGTCACTGTCACCAGATCTTTAACCCACCCCACTTCACCCCTAGGACCTTGCCCGGAGCAGCCAGGGTCAGGAGGCCACAGGGCTCTGCAACCCTGGTGCCGAGATTCCCACCTTCTCAGTCACAGTACAAAACGGGAACCGAGATACTGCAAGAAACAATCAGAGAAAGCACGAAAATGGATGTGGTCCATTTGGTAAAAAAAAAAAAAATTTTTTTATTTTAATGGAACAGTGACATCAGAGGGTCAAGAAAGGTCTTCCTTGACCCAACCCTGTGCTCATTTTCTGCGGGGAAAGGGGCAGAGTTCTGGAGCGAGTGTGCCCCTCCCATAGAGGAAACTTCTCCAGCTGTTTCCCTTTCCCAGCCCTGGCTCAGGAACACCCAGGCCAACCCAGGGAGCCACGAGAGACAGACGGGGAGGGACTCCTTGGGGCCCCAGCCTCACTACCCCACACCTTGCACTTGGGGAGGGGGTGGGGGCATTACGATTCTGTTGCTTCCAGATTGCCTCTCCCCAGCCTTCCGGGGGAAGTAAAATTGAGATAAAGGGAAGAAACAGGTAAGTGACCTGAGACAGTTCGCCAGCTTTCTCTTGGGAGAATTGTTAGGCCTAGAGAGCCCTGGCCTCAGCTAGCATCCTTGAGCCTAATTAAATGGGGCCACCCAAAGTCACACAGCCAGCAACTGGCCCAAGGCCTGGCGGTAGGTTATGAGACGGTTTGAGGCAGAAGTGAGGCCTCTCACCTCCCAGACACCCTTAACTGTAGGAAAGATGCTCATCATGACCCCTGAGAGCTGTCTGGGTCAGGGACCTGAAATCTGGGGACAGAGCAGTGAGAACCCCATGGCATCAAGAGTCCAGGCCCCTGCCTGTGTTCCAGGCTCCAGTAAAGCTGCCACTGCCTTCGTAGCTTCTGGAGGCACAAAGGTCCTTACCAGGCCTCCTGGGGACCTTCCCTCATCTAACGTCTCCACCCTGGGTTCTATCTGCACCGCTGTGCCTCTGGTCTTAGGTCTCTGTATGTCTTCTTATAAATGAACTATCTTTGACCTCAGAGCAAGAGGTACTTGAGGGCCATCTCCTCTATATCCTTCGGGGACAGCAAGAGCCCTGCACTCAGAAGGCATCCTCAGCACACAGAGATGAAAGCAGTGTGCCTCCAACTGTTGGCCACAACCTGGTAATGGGTCATGAAACCATGGCCAACCTCTTAAAAAAAAAAGTAGAATAAATAGAAAGTATCACAGTGCACACACATAGCAAGGATAAGTATTATCCCAAGAAGCTTTTGTTTCAGTTATCTCATGGTTCAGAATATGTTTCTTGCTGTGGGTCACTGAACCCCTGGTCCAGAGCACTAGTTAAGACATAGACTCACAGCAAATACAGAAAGAAAGGCTGCCTGCTCTGTGTCGGGCACTATGCTAGATCTAAAATGAACAATACAGTTTTAATCCATCTGCTGGTGGGGAAGGCATAAGCAAACTATCTGCAAGAAATGATGCTAAGTGCTCTGAGAGACTATGTAAGAGACTATAAAGCCCTGGTGTGAAAGTAGGTATCTGGGAGGGTTTCCCAGAGGAGGTGATGCAGTCAGAGTTCTTAATAAGAAAAGACAGTAACAAGGGGAAAAAAAAAAAAAGGAAGAAAGAAAAAGAAGAAATGGAAAAAACAGTGACTAGATTCTGGTATCTCTTCCATCCTATTGCTAGGAAAAGAACAATGGTAAAGTGTTAAGATTCAAGTCTTAAAAGTCTAAAGACAACTTCTAGGGAGTTACCTGGCAGTCCAGTGGTTAGGCCTTGACACTTCACTGTTCTGGATCCAGGTTCCATCCCTGGTCACGAAATAGGATCCTGAAAGCAGCCTGGCCCTGGCCCAAAAAAAAAAAAACTTCTAGTCCTGCCTCCTCTTCTTAACAAGCTATGAGACCTTAGGTGAGTCAGTTAATCTTTCCAGACCCTGTTTCCTTGTCTACAAAATGGGCATATCTGCTCTGTCAACCTCAAAACAGTAAGAGATCAAACATGACAGAAAATGTATGTTAAAGTACTTTGTAAAGGGATTGTCTCCACGGATGAGGAAATGACAGTGTAGAGAGAAAGGGGGAGGGATTGTCTCCATGGATGAGGAAATGACAGTGTAGAGAGGTGAAGTGTCTTGTCTAACACTAGAGAGCAGGAGGAAGGGAGTGTTGGGGGTGAGAGTGGGTGGGGCGGGCGCCCCTCAATCCTCTGTCCTCAGCTTCTGCCTGCACTCCCCCTCCTCTCGCTGCAGCTGAATTCCCCACAAGAGGGTGGGGGCAGGGCCCAAAAGGCCCCCTAGCAACCTATCAAAAGTTTTACCTTAAGGATCTTTTAAGGTTTTTATGACCTTTTTCACAAAGGTGGGAGGTAAATACATGAGAACTCCTCCCTTTCCCCCTCTTTTAATGAATTAGGATCTACGCAAACTCAGTGTTTAAAGTTACATAAGCATCATTCAGATCTCTGTACCAGCTTTCACTTTGGAAAAACTGCATTTCCATTAAAAGTGTTATATAAAAAGGTTTTGTGTATGTATGTGTAGGAACAGAAGGAACAGGTACGCATGAGCACTGTTAAGGCACTCAGGCGCATATGCATCACAAGCTCACCTGTCCTCATGGGGAGCAAGTTTAAGATGTGACCTGCTTGGCCGGCAACCCCCAGTGAGACCTGGTGCATATTGGGCAATGGGAACTACAGCAGGAAGGCCATCAGCTGCCCCAACCTCCCAGGGGCCAGAGAAATCCTGATCTTCCGGAGAGTTTTCCCCTTGACAGTCTGAGTCTCATCCATCATAAACTACGGAGGTTGGAAGTAGCTCCGAAGCCACCCAACGCAGTCTCACTGGACGTCAACTCTCCCAAGGCCTGACTTGAGCAGCTCCAGTGCTCCCAAGGCGCCCATGTCACCTGTGGGTAGCTGTAGCTCACTGGAGAAGCCCTGATGTGAACTGAAATTTGCCTTTCTGGAGTCCCCACTTCTTGGGAACAAATGTATACCCCTCAACCACTATCGAGTCCAGGAGTCACAGCCAGCATGAGTGCGCCTGGGGCCTAAAACCACGGAGGAAGGGCAATTAAGAGTCCACAGAGCTGAAGCTTTAAGCTTAGAGACTTCTATCCATCCAAACTGAGACTGGTACTGTGGGGGAGGGGGAGCGAAGCGCCCAGGGGTGGGTTGAGAGGAGGGGGTGAAGGGAAGAAGCCTTAAATGGGAGTAAGTGAAAGGCTTTGAGCAAAGCCTGGTTCCTTAGGTCTCATTTGTTGTGTTGGGAGTCAGACCATCCCGAGGTCAGTTCCAGCTCTGATACTCTTAAAGTCCTCGGCCTACTCACACACACCACACACACGTATCCCTTTCTGGTTTCGGTGGTTGTACTCTTACGTGAAACGGGGGGGNGGGGGGGCGGCAATTCGAGCGCCGATCAGGAAGTAAAACAACCGCCCGAAGCCTCTCTATCATCCTGGTCCGACCTGACTTAGGCTTGGCGGCTTGCTTGGCTACCCGAAGGGCGCAACCATTCCACCGTAAGCGGGTAGAGACACCCAGACAGGAACACCCCGGTACAGAAGAGAGAAACGTGAGCTTTGGAGTGTCCTTTTAAGTAGTTGGGAAGGGGGTGTGGCCGAGAAGACTGGGAGGCCGCAGCCCGACGAGGGGGGAGTGGCCCGGGGCGTGGCCTTAACGTCTGGAATGTTGTTGGGTCCTCGCACCGCATAGTAAGGAGGGGCCCCGCCCCTTTTCTCGGAGAGGGCCAATCGGAATGCCGGAGCGGTTTCAAGTCTCCCCCGCCAGCCAACCCGCCCGCCACCCCACCCCCCTCGGGGATTCGCTTTTTCCGTAACAAAACTGCAAAGCTCCGGATGTTCCGCAGCCCCGGCGGCTCACAGGTGGAGGGGCCCGGGGCCTAGGACTGTGCCCCGAAGCGGGAAGCGCCTGCAGGCTGTAGTGAGGCCGGGTCCAGAGCCTGGAGGCGCGCGGGGGTGGGCGCTGCAGCCGCGGGTTGTTTATCTGGAGTACGGAGGGGAGGGGGGAGCCTGGAAACCGCCCCGTGTCCCATTTCCTCCTCTTGTTTTCGCTCCGGATTCTCCATGTTGGACCCAAACTGAGGAGCCCGGAGCTGCCGCCGGGGGATCGGGGCTGGGGGCACCCGGGAGAGCCGCTACCCGGGTCGCCCGCTCTCCATACAGGCCGCCTCCCTTCCCGGCCCAGGGAGGGAACAAGAGCCGGGATGTGAACAGCAGTGGGAGTCGGAGTCTCGGGAGCCGGAGCCTGAGCCGGAGCGGGCCCCCGCCCAGGCCCCCCAGCCCAGCCCAGCCCAGCCTGTGCGCCCGCGCGTCCTCCCGCCCAGCCAGCCCGGGCCCGCGGGATTGTTAGATGGAACACGGCTCCATCATCACCCAGGCGCGGAGGGAAGACGCCCTGGTGCTCACCAAGCAAGGTAGGGGCAGCAACTTCCCAAAACTTTGCGTCGCCCCCGGGCGGGGAGGGGGCTAGCACAGCGGCGAGCCCGAGTCTCGGCCCCTGACCTCCCGGGGCTCAGAGTGGGCGATTCTGACCGGATCCCCCGCTCCGTCCGCCCCTGCGTCCTGGTGCGCACTCAGACCCGGCAGAGGGTTGCGCCGGGGCCCGGGCTCCCTGCGCCCTAGGGGGAGGGGCGTCATCCGCGCAGCTGTCACCCCTTTCTGCACCCCCCCTCTCCGGGCAGAGAGACTAAGGGGTGAGCGCACGAAGCGCGAGCCTCCTCGCGTCCATCCTCTCCAGAGTTAGGGGGTGGGGTCGTCACTTTCCCGCACCGGAGCGCGCGGCTGCCCCAGGACTACAAGGACTGGGGAGGGAAGGGGAAAGAGGGGGTCCCGGGCGGTCTCGGCCTAGAAAGGAGCCGGGACTGGAGTCCAAGCCCCTCACCCCCCTCACCCCCGCCAAAGCTCGGGGTTGCTCAGGCAGCGGGCGGTGACGGCGTCCGGCGGGACTTGGGACCAAGTTCACCGCCCGGAGGCGGGGGCGGCCGCGGTGGGGGAGGGGCCGAGCCCTGGCTGACCGGACCTGGTCGGCCCGCGGCCGTTTGCTGGGCCAGGGACCTCGGCGCGCGGGGCTTTCGCCGGGCGGCCTCCTGCCGCTTTCGCTGAGCAAACAAGCGCGACCCCAAGGCCCGACCGGAGCCCCTCCCTGCCCCAGTGCGCTTCCCCGGGGCCGCCGCCACACACACAGAGCCGCGTTTGTTTAGCCCGAGAACGGTGTCCCTGGTTACATAATTCGCCGGATGGCATCAGACCCGGCGTGTTTCTGAATCGCGCTGCGAAAAAGTGCGAGTTCTCGGTGGGCAGCGGATAGCGGCCCCCGCCTTCCTGCGGGTCACGGGGAGATACGAGGGGGGTCTCGGGCCCTCTCTGGGTGTGGGTTTGGGGACTGGAGCGTGATTGGGCCGAGGCCCTTCCTAGGGACGGGGAAGGTGGGGGTTCGAGGGTGGGATCTTTGAGTTTGGTCCTGGAGAAGGCCCCGAAACTCTTCCCCCCTCCCCCACGTTCCTCTTCGGGCCTTGAGGAATGTGTCTGGAAGAGCGGACAGAATTTCCGCGGGGAATAAGGACTAGCGTCTTTTTTTTTTTTTTTTTTTTCTGGAGAACTTCCCAGACTGGGGCCACCTGGCCTGGGTAGGCTGGGGAGCTCACGCTCTTGGGACCAAATTCGGAGCGTCCCTGCTCATCCCTCGATCCCCCAGAACAGGGCAAAAAAGGCCCAGTGCTGCAGTTGGACATACTGAGGCCCAGTGCCTTGTGAGGGGCCAGCCCTGGGGCCTCGGTGTAGCCCCGGAGCCCCCTGTTAGGCAACATTAGTCAGCAGATCACTTATTTCGGGGGTTCCTGGTCCCAAGGAGCACCCCCAACTTGCCTAGAGGCTAAAAAGCTGGGCTGGTGGTTTTACCATTCCCTGATTCCTTTGGTGAAATGCTGGGGGGCGGGAGGCAGTGCGTGCTTCCTGCATCAGCTGGCCCTACTTAAATAAGCCTTGCCTACTCAAGATCCCAGAGCCCCTGACTCCCTGCCCTCCTGGCCACATCACTAACCAGGCTTCAGCTTCACTCCTCCTCTGGCTGCCCAGCTGTGCTGAGGGCTGAAGAGGGGAGGCTTTCTGTTTTTTATAACTTCACTCCTGACTGTTCCCGCTCTCTTCCCAGCCTCATCTGAGGAAAGACTCCAAGTGCTAGCCAAAAATGAAGAAATGTGTAGATGGAGGATCCCAGAGGGGGCAGTGTTGATGAGAAGGGGGAGAATTGCCCTGGACCCACTCTGGGCCTCCCCTCCTCTAAGGGCTCGGGAAGGGGCCCTCCCAGGGAGAGGACCACACCAGCAATGGGGGAAAGCTGGACTGCTGAACAGACAGCCTACCAACCAGAGCTGGAAGTTTCACCCACCAGGGCAAGTGGTGGGGAAGAGGATAGCAGAAAGCAAGCAGCCGGCTTCTTGACAGTCTTTAGCTGCTGATGTTGGTTGAATTTTTAGAGTTACAATTTTCTTTTTTGTATGTGTTGGTTTATCCTTCAAACTTATCCCTGGAGGAATCTGAATCTTCAAGCCGGCAGCTTGGGGGTCTCTCTCCCCTGTAATTCGACTGCATTCCAGAGAAGACATGCTTTCTTCCTGAACTGCTTGGGCAAACGGCAACCAGCAAGCCAACTTTCTGATTCCTTCATCCTTTACAAACAAATCCTGCCTCTTAAAAAAACAAAATAAAAAAGTTGGGGTGGGGAGCAGATGTTTTCTCTCTCTTTAAGAGTTTGGCCCTCTCTCCTCTCCAGTGTCCTATCTCTAGGCTTCAGCCTCCCTTTGGAAAAATGGGGAAGGAGTACTGAGACAGTTATTAATCAGTAAATTTCTAGAAAAATACAAATGGCTCCTAGCTTGGGTGGTTTTTTAGTGAAGTTGTTTGCAGGGTTGTTTTTTTTTTTTTTTTCTTCTTTTTTAGCATTCTGCTCTCAGAGCTTTAAGGCTGGCTGGGTGTGTTGATGATTCAAAAGTAATTACAGTAGGGGAAGTAGAACAAAGTTGCTGAAAGCATTGATGATGAAAGGACCCAAATTGGACCATCTCCCCAGACAGATGGGTGAAATGGCTCACTGGTACAGCAAGGATAGGGCTGTGTGGTAGGTATATCAAAAGTGAAAAAGGAAAGTTAGTATCACTTTGGTTAGGAAAGCGCCATTTATGGCAGACATTCAAAGATGTCTCCCCGTTGCTGGGAGACTGTGCCTTCGGCTTCGGGGTTAGATGGGGAGAAGCCAAGGGAATAGGTTAGTTTATAACCTCCCGGGGTGAAACGCTAGGGTGGGGCAGCCTCTTCCAGAGCCCCTCTATGGGAGTTGGGACCGCTTCTGTTTTGTTCTGTGGACCTGACGCCCCTTCTTTTCAGACAGTTGATGGTGATGCTTTGCATTGTCTTCTCACATGTCTTAGCACTAGGTTCTGGTAACTGACCATCCCTAAGGGTTAGGATGGTGGCAGGTGTTTCTAACTCTTGCTTCCTCCCTATACAAGGGAGAAATTCTGACTTATTCACTCACGTAAAAGCTCAGACACGTTTCACTATAGTTGTAGCTAGGCCCTTAACTTGAAAAGTTTGGCTTTCTTCCTCAGCTTGCTGGGTGAGCGTCCAGGGTGTGTGTTTATAGCTGGCTTCTCCCGCCCCATGAGTTCCTCTCCCCTCCTGGCCCAGCCTCCGCCGTGGCCTCTTTGTGGCCACCGAGCCTCACTCCTGTGTCTCCTTTGGAGTTGTTGCCCCACCTTGGAGTGGGGTGGGGGCCTGGGTGGTGACTGACACTTGTGTTTGTTCCCTGCCAAAGCAGCCCAAGGGAGCCCTGCTAACGCAGCAACCATGTTTGTGAATGCCCGCCTTCCTGGGCTGGGAGTTTGCAGTTCTGCTGCTGAATCTGACTTGGACAGTTTGCGGTGGAACTAGACTCGGGGATTGCCGTGAACACCCCTCCAGAGATGGCAGAGGTGGTCGTGTCCCTGACTCCTGTCTCCTCCCTCTCAACTATAGGGGTCTTAAGCTAAATGGAAGAGAGGTCCCTTTGCATCCTCCCAGTGGGACCTTCCAAATCCCTTATGATCACAAACTTTGTTAAAATGGTAAATAGAAGTAAGTTGATGCGCCCAATCTTTCTGTGAAGAGTTAGTACATGTGTTCATTACTAAGCAAGAGAAAGACAGTATGTATTTATATGTAAGTATATGTCCCTTCCCCTTCTCAACTTTCTTCCTCCTAGGTTTTGGGTAGGTTGAGCTATTGTCTTGTAGTCTCATCTAGTCTCTTGGGATGGAGAGGGGATTGGGGAGGGGAGGGTGGAAGGCAGGGGCAGCAGTTAAAAGTGTTCGGAGAATTGCTGGGGAGCTGAATTGGTTGCTTCTGGCCTGGGTGCAAATCCCTGCTTTCCCCGTTTACAGTGAGACTTGACAGATCACTTCTCTGTTCTTAGTGACTTTTCTGTAAAATCGAAGTATTGGTCTCTCCACATATGTAATGCCTGGTACTTAGTAGATGATTGAAAAATGTTAACATCCTTCTTTACACAGCTAGACCAGCACTCCAGTGTCCCTCCACCCCCGAAGGACACAGTACAGGCAGCAAAATACCCATGTGGGCTTTATCGTTAGAGACCGGCGGCCGAGGGTCGGGGCACGGACGTGGGAGGCGTGAGCCTTCCGGGGGGGTCG